CAGTCATTGGGAATTCAAAATGATTATATTACAACATCTGAATTCAAAGACAAACACAACGTAAACATGAATCAAATTAATGCCATAGTCTCTACTAATACTTGCCCACTTTTTTCATTATAATTCAACAGAGGGAGCATGTGGATATAGTGATCTAAACAAACAAGGCTATGGTCTAGCGACCGCAGCATTGAGCACGGCATTGTTCAATAACGGGTACACGTGTGGAGCCTGTTACCAGATTTTTTGCGCGAATGATCCACAATGGTGTTTGCCCGGATCCATCAAGATCACAGCTACAAATTTCTGTCCACCAAATTACACCAAGACCGTAGACATTTGGTGCAACCCACCACAAAAACACTTTGATCTCTCCCTTCCAATGTTCCTCAAGATCGCCAACTACAAAGCTGGGGTTGTACCGGTTAAGTATAGACGTGTTCGTTGTGCAAAAACCGGTGGTGTTAAGTTTGAACTCAAAGGAAACCCTTATTTTTTAATGGTTTTGCCGTACAATGTAGGAGGAGCTGGAGATATTAAGGCCATGCAAGTTAGAGGAAGTAAGACAGGGTGGATAACAATGAAAAAAAATTGGGGACAACACTGGACCACCGGTGTTGTGTTAACCGGACAAGGATTATCGTTCAAGGTTATGACAAGCAATGGGATTGCAAAATATTTCATGAACGTGACACCATGGTATTGGAAGTTTGGTCAGACTTTTGATGGTAAGATAAATTTTTAGCAGAATGATCTCACTTTTGTTAACTATGAGTCTAAGACTCGACAATTATAATAATTGACGCATGTGTTGATGCAATAGTTACAAAGAATAATAGAAATTAAGTGGTTTTATGTTGAAATCATGCATTTGGTTTAACCTAATTCGTACTAAGAATTAACCAAAGAGTTCGGGACCAAGAAGTCTTGGATAGGTTATATGTCCATTTAAAAGCTAAATTTTGAATTTATCAGAAAATGATCAAACGAAAACTATATAAAATTACCAAGTGTCTCTTGGTCTTGAAACATTGAGTAGTCCATTGTTTATACCCTCACCGTCCATGAAAATCAAAGAGATCCATGCTAGGATTCCGGATATAAACGGGTAATAAGGAGATAAGTCGAGGTACTCGTAAAGCAAGGGCTCAGTATGGTTAACAGTAGATATAATAATAAAAAATAGACCGGTTGATTAACCGAGCAACCTTATTGGAAACATAGAGACACTAACAGTCTCGTATATCGAAATAGTAAATCTAGGCTCAGCAGGAACAACCATTTTGTAATCAAATACTTCGAGGCGAGTTCTAAGAACATTGTTGAACAATTGTGTGTCTTTCTTTATGATTTCTTGTTTCTTGGATCTCAAAGATTCACAAACCAACAAGCGTTCTTTGATTGAGTTTAGAAATTTGGTCTAAAATCTACATCACTTTTCTGCATTTTCAAATGAGGTTTAAAATCAAGTATCTATGCGTCACATTCTCATCATTGAAACAAGAAACCGCACAATATTTTCCTCTGTTAATTTTTTTTTGTTTTTCTGAGTTTGCAAGTACAAACGAGTTTTACGGTTCGCCAGCTTCTTTAATGGTGTAAATCATAAAAATAAATTAGATCGCCACATTTGTGTTGTACTTTGCGATTTCAGTTATGTTTTTTTCTTTACAGTGATCAGTTCTACCTTTTCTTAGAATTTGCGGTTCTTACAAATATTTGATGGGACTTTAAATCTTTTGTTATTCAAAAGGTTTAGTTATCTTTTATTTTGTATTTCTGTTAAACTCTTCTGTTTGAACACTGATTTTAACATTTTAGCCATAAGACACTACTTTCAAATGTAGAAATGTATTATACATTCGTTAAATACTGTTAAAAATATCTCAAATTTTAAAGTTAATAAACTCTCTTACAATCAAAATGTGAATAACTTTCTTCTAAAATTTAAGAAATGATTTGGATTTAACAATTATATAAAAAACAGATGGGGGTTTTAACAGTGTTTTAGGTGAACTCAATCGTGTTCAAGGTGAACTCTATCACATCCAAACATAGTTTTGCTTTGTCTAGTAAATCTGAATTAAAC